GAGTAGTATCTGGAACTTGGCCCAGTGGCCAGATCCCAATCCCACCCCTTCAATATAATATGTAGGTCTACTTCCGCTAATCTTACTTGGCCATGAAATAGGACTTATCACATGGGGTTTGGTGAAAATTAAGAGTTACCCATGTAAAGCACTTAGAAAATGGCTCATGGTGAGCTTGTTTGGTGCATATCACAGTCACTACTGTTGGTGATCAAGTCTGGTGATTGTTCACATGGGGCCACATGTCTCCAGGAGAACTTTCTCTACCACTAATGTGAGCCAGCAAGTAGTTGTGGGGAATCTGAGATTAACACACTGATTTGCCAATTGACCTCACTTAAATGTATCCATTCTTACAGGCATTTCTCCACACACACACTGGATGTCAGTCACCTAAAGGTGACCTAAAAGGCCAAGCTGAGTGGTCATACTGGTGTCCCATCTCAGGCCAGGGTATGTGCAGTTACCTCTTAAACTCTGGCCAGACCCCAAACAACCGCATACAAGTGCAAACCTCTGCCGAGGGCCTCACAGGTCACACTCACATAATTGGTGGAGGTGTAAATGCTTTGTAGCAATTGACATCTGCCTTTGTAAACTCTCTTCTGGAGTCCACTTCCCACGAACACAGTGGGCACAGCAGAGAGTCTGGAAGGGCTCCAGGCTGCATCCGCCAAGAGGGTCCCCGTGGCCCAGGGTCTGTGCAAATGGCTCTGTTCAGGCCCCCATCCCCCAACCCCCCTGCCACGACTATGGGATCCCAGTAACAAAGAATTCCATCAAGCTCCCCGCAAGGCCACTATTATTTATTTTACCCTGGTTACCAGACACAGAATCTCAACAACAAATGATCCAGTATTACAAATGTCTGCTATCCAGCCCCTCAAACATCAAGGGACTCCACCTCTGTTTTAAAAGGAATTTTAAAAGACAAAACCAGATGACGGAGAGTCTGCAGTCTATTTGAGAAGGAAGCATGAGGGGTGGTAACTGGGATCTTGCCACAGTCAGTAATAACTCTAATCCTGTTCTCGTCTCCAATGTAGGAGAGTAATGAGGACAGTAAGAACTTTCTGGAACGGCCTCGCCTTAGACTTTAAAGCGAATGCAGACAACACCAGCTTTTGGGGGTTATTTATTATAACCAGACAGCTCTCTAATTCCTTTTGGGACTTCCCCGAGGGCCCTGTCTTGAGTTACCCTGAGGCCCATGGGCAGTCCAGCCTCCCCTCTGTGCAGAGAGGCAAGATCATGGAGTTTGCCCCTTGTGCAGGGTTTGACCACAAGCTTGTTCATTTGCCAAAAAACCGCATGTGCTTTCTCCCCTTGGGGTGTAAGATGAAGGTCGAAATCCCACTGTTCACCAAAACCCAGATCACCAGAATACACCCCCTAGCTCCTAAGGCTGGGGTGAGGGGCTGGCTGGGCGGAGACCCTCCCTCCCCTCCCCCCTCCAGTGGCGGCTCCTAAATGGGGGCCCTAGACACTGCCCAGAGCCAGGCAGGCTGCAGAAGCTGCGAGAGTTTCCCATTGGGGCAGGGAGGAAACTGAAAGCCAAACGTCACCACCAGCCCGACTGGGTCCGCTTCCGGGACAGGAGGGCTGCACTGCCCACCCTCCCTGCCCAGCTGTCTGGGCTCCGGAGCAGGGCTGGAGGCCAGGAGCGAGTGGCTGATGGGAGCAGCAGATGTGGCATGGTGGCAGGGGGCCTGGCCACGAGGGGATAGCAGGACAGAGGGTGCGGCCAGGGCAGGCAGGGCTTCCAGGTGGGATCAGCGGAGTGGAGCCGGGAAGCTGTGCCTGTCGCCCGGGATTTAGGTGGCGGCACCTACGGACCTGAATGGCGTCCTGGACTTGCCATCTACGAGCTGGGCCAAGTGCTAATGCTTCTCAGCCTCCTTTTCCTTTTCTGCAGAAGCCGCTGAAGACGGATAGTGCAGGCATTGTGCCCAAGGTCGGTTATTTCAAACACTTCCTACAGGAACAACACACAGATTTTCAATAAATAGAAACAACTGTTACTACCTGTGTGGCCCTAAGCAGGTAATTTAATCTCTTTGAACCTCAGTTTCTTCATCTTTAAAATGGAAATGGTATTATCCCCTCCCTGCCCCCGCCCCAGGATTCTTTAGAAGACTGGCGGAGATGATGTGTAATCTGGCGCTGTAAATGTTCAGTAAATCCCAGTGTCTCCCCCTTCTTGCTCTCCTGTACCCCAGACATGCACGGCCCTGCCCCTCCGCCAGAGAAGCCAACCTCTGCCTAGGTGGGGGAGGGCGGAGTCTCAGGGCCAGAAGGTTGGTTGCATATAGGCCGGAAGTTCTAAAAAAGCAACACAAAACAAGACAGGATTTTAAAAAGAGATGCTAATAATAAAAGAGATGAGCAAAAGTAACAAAACCTATGAGAAAACATAGTGAATTCCAGAACTGTAAACAGTTAAGTCAGCCTGAGCTGGTCGACAGAACTGAAACCTGGGTGATTTCCAGCTGAGACTGTCTCTGTGTGTGTGTATGTCTCTGTCTCCAGCTCTCTCTCTCTCTCTTTCTCTCTCTCTCCCCACCCCTCCTCCCCCTCTCTCCCAGAGTGGCCTTGAACAAGCCACTTTATCTTCCTGAGGGGACTAGAGCTCTGGGCCTCCTTCCAGCCTGATTTTCTGGGATGAGGTAGGAGAGACTGAGTCCAGGGCAGAGGTGAAGGAGAGAGGCCAGGAGGTGAGCAGGCACCAGGCGCAGCTGGGCCAAGAAGCAGGCCAAGCCCACAAGAGGTCTGCAGCCTGGGAGCAGATGGGAAGGAAGGGAGGAGGCAGAGTGGAGGTAATGACAGGAGTGTGGTGTTGCTAGCATCTTTGCAGCATAAAGCTACAGCAGGAAAACACCTGTCTCCTTTAGTCCCAGAAGACAGAGGAAAGACCATTGGTAAGTAGATAAAGATTAACTTCTCACTGGTTGGACACCGTTAACACAACCACATAGGCTGCATAGAAATAAAAGAGAGTAGAATCCAGGTGGAGATACTTGTCACTGCCCTTGAACTAAGATGATTTTAGGGCCTGCTTCTGGCATGCACACTCTTCTCAGAGCTGAGGTCAGGCCGAACGTACAGAAATGACCCTATAGGCAAGGAAGGTTTGGGGCATCACTGGAAGGCCTGCCGAGCAGGGGGGGATACTTTCCCTATAGGAAAAATGATTGGAACCCAGCACCATTCACCTTGGCCACTTCCTGCAGCCACACTGCCCTGCAAAGACCTCAGTATCTTCCTTAGGCAATGTTAATAAAGGGATAAGAATGTTGAATGTGGTCAGAAGACATTCATTCAGGGCCTTCCTGTGAGACATCACTCAGGACTCCAAGACTGTCTCCCTCATCTGTAAAAGGGCGTCAGTACCTTCCCTGCCTTCCTCACAGGCTTAAATGAGATCAGGTAAGTGAAAGAAATGAGATCAGGTAAGTGAAAGCAAGACTCACAAATGCAGGGGGGTGACTATCTTCCAGAAAGATGGTGGCTCACCCGGCTTGCGGAAAGGTCTTTCAGCCCTATGGGGAATAAATGAGAGGTCTGGCAGCTTTGGCCTCTACGAATATGAGGGAAGTTACATGGGGCAAGCTCCAAACAGCCCCAGATCAATGGCTACGAGCTTCTACAGTGAGAGTAAAGTGCATCTTTTGAAAGCAGCATATCCAAAGAAGAGATTTGCCAAACAAAGCATGTGTGAAGAAGCAGTAAGCTTTGATACCCTCAGGGTTTTGCTGAGAGACGTGTGTAGCCAGACCTTTGTCTTAGGTTTACCTGGAAGACCAGGAGGAAAATGAGTGGGGGTTGTGCTACTTTGCAATATAAGCCAGTGAGGGATTTAACTTGTTCCCAGAGCCTCTTTCCTCATCTGTAAAATGGGGATAACAGTAGAATCATCTCACTGGATTAGTGAGACTTTGAGATATAACCCTTGGAAGGCACAATGCCTGCCTCAACTTGCCCAATAAATATAAGATACTAGGTAATACATTGATGGGCAGATCACTCACACCAAAACCAACTGACACATTTTTTTCTGTACCTGATGCAATAAAGACAAATCAGACATCTGCAGTTTTAAAATGAGGTTTATTGTACATAAAATAAATTAATTACAGTTTACGCCAAAGCATGGGTGGCTTTATAAAGTGCATCTGTGTAAGGGATTTGGCAGGCAACCCCTGCATCTATCTGCTCACTCACTGTAAGATAGTGTTTTTGTACTTCAGCCACCCATAGGCACAACTCAGCCAGGCCTAGGACACAACCCAACGTCATAGCCGTGAGCCATTTACACAAATCACACCAAAATCAACTGACACACTGGTTTCTGTACCTGATGCAATAGGTTAACAGCAAACAAACAAACAAACTATACAGTCTCACAATTAGTCAAAGCTTGGGGTTGAAGATTTGAGTTCAAACCACCCAACATACCAACTAAGCATACCCATCCTGTGGGGAGGAAACATGGCCTTCCTGCCTTCCTGTGATCTACTCAGTGTCTGTATACAGAATACTGTGGCCCATAAACTTGACCTTTTGTGGGGGGAGGGGCATTTTCCTTCTTGTTCTTACAGAGAGAAATCTGTGTCTCCTTCACGGGTTAGAAAGGTATTCTGTTAAGAATGGTGTTCCAGCAATCCAAATCATACTAAGAAAAGCAACTCTCCCTCTTGGAGGGGCTGGGGGAGGGGAGGGGAGAAAAAGAAAAAAGAGAGAAAAGAAAATCTGTGAATGCTTCATCTCTTCCTTCACCCCCACCATAAACAGCATCAGGATGGTGGAAGGACAACTGACCAGCATTTACCAGGTAGTTAAAAGCAAAAACCAAAGCAATTACACCCCTTCCCCACTCCAAATGAAAAGAAGAGTCCTTTTCACATATTCAGAGAGTAGCTTGGTGGGCTCGTTCAAGCCTGTCAGTTCTGTCCCCTGCTTAGACCAACACTTCCTCTTCTGGGGCAGTTCCAGAGGCCCTCTTCACCTTTCTGCTCCAGCCCTTTCTGGAACCATGACTTACTGCCAGCATTCAATGTTCCTGCACTAGAAGAATCTCAGGCCCTCTTCTTAGAAAGACCAAACCCCCTCAAGTGCCCGTTTCAGACGGAGGTGACAGTCCTCACTTTGGCAGAGAGTGCCTGCTTGAACCTTCTCTTCAGGTCCTGCATGTTGGGGGACTTGGGCCTGGGAATGAGGGAGCTCCTCCGTTTCTCAGGCGTGCTGCTAGGCTGATGCTTGTGGCTTACTTCTTTGCACAGGACGTGGAAGGCATTGTAGACATCATTATAATTTTCACTGACGGACACTTCATAGAATAAGCAGCCCAGCATGCCGGCTAGCTGCAGTCCAAGCTGAGGGTCAACCTGTTTGATATGCAACAGGTCAGCTTTGTTGGCCACGACCACCACGGGCAGGCGTGTGCCTGGGTGTAGCTGCTGCACGTGCTGGTGAAGCTGGCCAATGAGTTCATAGCTCTTGTGGTCAGTGATGGAGAAGACAATCACCACAGCATCTGCCCAGCGGATACACCTATTCAGCTGCTCACTGCAGCTCAAGCCATTCTCATGGACCTGAAACAGACAAGTAACAGCAAACTCAGCAGTGGCCACTACCACAAAGAGCTCTGGCTTGGGTGGATTCAAATTCAAAAGAGCCCTTTACAGTCAGACTGGGTTGCAGGCCATAAACAAGTTATATCCCCACACACCCTGGCTTTCTTGACAATATGTTGATCCAGCTGCAGAGAGTTGGAATAAATAACAGTGCAGCTTGCCACATTCAAGTGGAAAATTGACCTGCAGAGAACTCCATGCAGAGAGACTTTGTAGTTGCACAAAATGGGAAATTAACTGGCTAGACAGTAAGTCTGGGGAAGTAAAGATAGGAGCTGGAAGCATTTAAACCTGGATAACTGCCCAGTTCAGGAAGAAAAAAAAACCACTAGCATGGCTCTTTTGTCTATAGGGTAACTTTCCACAGTACAAAAGCGATTCCAAGTATTTGGAGACCATGCCTAGATGTTTGGTTTTTAATGCCAAAGACACATATGTAAAAACTGACCTTTTTAACTATAGCAAGAAAACTGCCAGTTCTAAGTGTATTGGGTTTGGTCTGTCCTGCCATGTAGAAGGGAAGATTTCTTTCCCTTAGCCGAGTCTCCCAAATTGAGCTACGCTAAGACTGACCAACAGCCAGATACAATTGAGGTGTCAAACATGTAAAAGTCTAGACTTGACTCCCCAAACTTCTCTCCACTCCTTCAGCATGAGCGACTCTGGGAGCAAGTGAACAATTCCACATCCATGCAGGCTCCCCCTTTCCCCAGTATCTCAGAGCATCTCACCTGAATACCTGGAGTGTCTTGAACCTGAATAGCCAGGGTTTCACCTTCTATCTGAACTTGTCTGGTATAGAGATTACCTATGAAAGCAAAGAAGAAAATTAGGTTTTTCCTTATTGTCCAATTCAAACACTGTGGATTTTTTTTTAAGTTACAGAGGAAAATGTAGTCTACACCAAGGCACAAAAAGAAACTATAGTTTATTTCTATCTCATGAGCTTACTTCAGAATTGTTTTTAAACCAACTGCAATTTTAACCCCTTGTTAGTAGATTTATTAAAACTAGGGCAAAGTTTGCAAGTTTTGGAAACTTATTTGTCTATTCTTAAACAGCGTTTCCATTTTTAGAATATTCCCTTGATGCAAATTGTCTTAACTCAGCATGTAGGAGGTTTCTGTTTTATTTTAGTAGTTCATCACTCTTTCGCCATAACTTTAGATTTCGGCCATTACATACGGACAGAGTGGCCATAAAGTTTGGGTATGGCCACCCTGTATAATGGCTTGGTAGACAAATATTGTCAGTAAATACACAGCCAATTATTATCAGTTGTAATAAAAATGTGACATACTGATCACCTACTCTACATCAAAGCAGAAGACTAGCAGTCTTATCTTGGGATGGCTTACACAGCTCATTCCAAATAATCCCCTGTAGGGATTTCATATGGTCTACAGATTTATGCAATTTGCTAACAGCACATGGGTAGAAAGCTCTCAGCCTCCCTAGTGGCCAGTCTTAATTTATAAGAGATTGAAACATTTTTCCTCTCACTTATTCAGGAATTCTCCTCCTAAAATTTTGCTATCTAGTTATTTTCCTTTGTTAAGAAAAGAGAAAGTTAGGTTTACAACTGCTCTCATTTGGCCTCTCCTTTAAAAGGTCACCTCTGAAAGGCAGCCAGCAGAGAGGGAGAGGGCTGGGGGAGGAGCTGGTCTTTTTTTTTTTTTTATGACTTCTGCAGGAGTGTTTTGAAGGGAGAGGCTCTTGAGTACAAAGGGTGCTTCCAACTGGGGTCCCTATAGTTAAAACATACCAAGGGGAAAACTTTCAGGCACTTGATAAAATGATGAATGGCCTTGGAATGGAATGAGGCCAGATGGCACTTCTGGGTTTGGGGAGGGGGAGCTTGGAGGGGCATGCAAAGAAGGAGGAGGCCAGACCCTGATGCTCAGACTGTCACTCTGGGGGAACTTGCCTAGGAGTCCTTGGAAATAAATAAATAAATAAATAAAACGAGAATAAGAGTACTCCTACCACATGGCAAATGCATTTCCTCACCTGCGTTTCTTTCATAATCACCGATGAATCGTTTGGTGAGGAACCGGACCACCAGCGCTGCGGGTCAGAAAAAAGAAAGAGGGTTAACCCTGAAGGTTAGACTGGTTTCCACCCCACCCCCAGCCTGGAAACAACTCTCCCAAAGAAAGGCTTAGACGCCACCAAGTGAAATTCCTACCCTGTAGCTCCTTGACCCTTCTTCCAGACAGAAGGAGAGGATTGGAGGCATTGTGAATTATGGCCCTGTCCAGCTGGAAGGGTCATTTGGCTCACCCCCTCCTCTGAGCCCAGCTGACCCACACTTAAGCCTTCTAGTGGACAAACGTCTTCCTACCTTACAGATCTCCAGGAGGGGTTACGTTTACCATCTCCCCTTTATGTGCCAGACGCTCAAACCCCCAAAGTTCTAATGCCCGTTGTGCCGGCGCTGCCCATATGGTCACCTGGCCATTCTCGATTTCAGCATCCCTCATCTGTTCTGGCAGGGGAGTGGAGGCCGGGATGGCTAAGGTCCCTCCCAGAGGGCGGCAGATTTCTAGCAGAGGGTGCACGGTCCGGCTGCAACTCGCACTACTTCTCCCCACGCCTAGCGTATTTGTCACTCCCCGTGGGGGTATCCACGTCCGACCCGGGTGCCCAGGACTCACCCGTCTTGCCCACGCCGCTGGCCCCCACCACGGCGATCTTGACGAGGCGGCGGCCGGCAGCCCCCAGGCAGCACTCCGCGGCGGCGGCGGCGGCGCTGCCCGGGGCGGGGTACTCGGCGATGGTGCACATGTTCTGAATGAGGCGCATCGCCGCTCCGGCCGGGGCTGCACCGCACGGGAGCGAGCGTGCGGGGTTGGAGGAGGCTCGAGCTGAGCCGCAGCGTGCGGGAGGACCTGGCTGGGGAGCTCCTCGGCAAAAAACAACAATAACAAAAGGTAAGCTCCGCCGGGGCGCGGCTCGACAGGGGTCGGGCTCGGAACTCACACTGCACCCGCGCGGCGCGCGAGCTATTTTCTCCCGGGCCGGGCCGCCCCCCCACCGCCCGCAGCCAATCCCGAGGCTCCCTGCGCGAGGCCCCGCCCCCGGCGCCGCTCGGCGCTCGCAGCGTCCCCGCCTCCGGCGCCCGGAGCCCGCGCCAGGCCGACTGAGGCAGGGTGTGGGGCAGGACAGCCGGCTGGGTCTCGCTGCACGGTTGCCGGGCTCATGCTGGGGGTGGAGGTGTCTTAGGTCCCAGGGGAAGGGCTCGGCCGATGGGCAGTGAGGGACATGCGTCCTCCGGCTCCTAGAGCCTCTCCCGGACACATACCCCGGCCTGGTCCAGTACCCACCGCCGGCTTTCCGCAGGAGACTACCCCGCCGCCCCCATACTCCACCCCCAGACCCCATCCTCCACCCCCACCCTCGGGGAACCTGCTTGGGGGCAGGGCCGGGGTCTCCTGCCCAACTTAGCGCCTGTTTCCTTCATTTGGGGTGAGTTGCACTGATTTGGGTGCATTCAGGTGCATCCCGTTATCATAGATTTGGCTACAATTGCAATCATCAACAAAATCATCCACCAACACCGCCCCCTTTAAAATGTGACATTTGACTTTGAGGTAAAAGAATATCACTCATTTTGCTAGAGACCCACGTCCTCTGGCTCTTGTCTACAGAGCAAGCTCACGTGAACCCACACATGGTCGGGCACATGTACAGCACACTCAGAGGCGAATCAAGAGGTAATTATAGAACAAGCTTTCTGGAGCCTCACACAGTCACACCTCCTCCAAGAGCTGTGAAATGGAAAGAAAACAGTTTGCCAGCTGCGACCTCTGAAAGGGTCTGCACGGTCTGCACTTGGTCTCTGGCCATCAAGAGTCATCATTTAAGCAGCTTGATGCCAAAGAAGCCAGGGGCTCTGCGCTCATAAATGCCACATTCTGGCCCCTTCCTTTCGCAGCAGGGAGAGCATCTTCAATGGCGGCCAAATTCCTCCTCCGGGCAACATTTTGTAGCTGAAAATGAAAGTAGAATATGTCACCAGACTCAAGCTCACCACCTCATACCCCAACCTTTCCCCCTCCTCATCAACCCTGTGGGCCCCCAAAAGTCCCAGAGGCTTTTATGATGGAATATGGCAACAAAGGGCTGTGTGTCCACACCCATATTTAAGGTTAAAAATGCAAAACAAACCCATTCCATGTGACTTCTCCTTCCTCCCTGGACTTCTTTGGACAGATGTGGGACAGAATTTATGATCCAGTCCTGGTTCAGACTAAAATGAGCCTTCTTGTGTATTAAGGCTTAGGGGTTTGAGATTACTTTTCTATTTCCCCTTGAATTCCTGCACACTGCTTTAAAACAAGTCTTTTAGGATGAGCGACATAATTAGCAAGTAAAATAATAGGTTCACTTCTAGGGAGATCACGAGAATGAAGTAAGTTCAACCATTTGAGAAAAAAAAAGAAAAGAGCATTTTCAATATGCATGTCTTTATGGTTGAAGTCAGACTTGAATGTTGCGTCTGTAAAGTCAAACTTAGGAAGACTGTAATTATAGGTAACCATGTGCTTTGTAAACCCTCACCTCCTCCCTCTCCCCCCCAAAGCCTGCAATGCTATCATGCTTCCATGGTAGAAATAATTACGTTAAGAATTTGTTTCAACTGCTTCTTACACACACACACTCACAAAGTTGTCAAGGGAATATTGCTGTGGATCAGATCATTTTAGCTCTTAGAGCCCGATTTCCATTGCCATAAGCCCACAGCAAACCTATGATTTTTCTGTCTGCAACAGAAAGGCTGGATTTGGTATTCTTATTTTAGGTCTGGCTATGCTTTAAAGAACACAGACAAGAAAGAAACAAGAGAAATGAAAAGGGAACTATTCAAAATCCAAGAGTCTAGCATAAAGCCCGTCTCTACCCTACCTCAGATGATGATGCTGAAAGTAACAGTCTTAGAAATTCGTAGAATTGAAAAAAGGAAGGGGCTGGGCAGGAGTGATGATATAGAATGAGTGTTTGTTTAATTCCAGGCTGTATACAGGGATTTTGCATTTAAAAATCACATGACCTTCGCAACCTGAGGTAGGTATTAGCTGTACTTCTGGATGCAGTTCCTCCTTCTGCTCATAGTCCCCCATGCTGTCTAGGCCTAGCTGGGTGTCCTTACTTAGGGTCTTTCCTGTTGTTGCAGTCTGGTGGCAGCTGGGGCTGGAGTCATCTGAAAGCTCAACTGGGCTGGACATTCAAGATCTGGCCTCTTCACTGACATGTCTGCACGTCAGCTGGAATGGCCAGAGCAGATGGGACTAGCATGGGTACCTCCATGGCAGACTTCCCTTTGAGTGAACATTCTAAGGCTGCAAGAGAAGCCACCTGTGTCTTAAGGCCTGGGCATGGAAACTGGCTCAGCATGACTTCTGCTATATGCTCTTGGTCAGGAAGTCACCGAGCTTATTCAGATTAAAGGGTGAAGAGCAGGAACACTGATACCACCTTTACATGGAAAAAATGTCAGGCCAGGCACAGTGGCTCATGCTTATAATCCTAGCACTCTGGGAAGCCGTGGTAGGTGGATTTCCTGAGCTTAGGAGTTAGAGATCAGCCTGAGCAAGAGCAAGACCCCATCTCTAAAAAAATAGAAAAACTAGACAGGCATTGTGGCAGGAGCCTGTAATCCCAGCTACTCTGGAGGCTGAAGCAAGAAGATTGCTTGAGCCCAAGAGTTTAAGGTTGTTGTGAGCTATGATGCCTTGGCACACTACCCAGGGCAACAGAGTAAGTTCTGTCTCAAATAATAAATAATAATAATAATAATAGATGGGGAAAATGTCAAAGAATGTGTAGCCATCTTTAATTCACCACACTTCCCATTTTGTAAGTGCAAAAAGAACATTCAGGTTCAAAAACTCCTGCAAGGTTACATATCCTATAGGGGACAGAGCCAAAGCATAAAGTGGTTTACATTTCTCTCTCTCATCTAGCTAAAAGAGATGAGGATGGGGATTGAAATATGAGGGGTTTGTTTGGTGGAGGAAAGAAAAATATTTTGCCAAGTTTCAATACTGCCTCAGCTTCTGGAGTTTCCATCACTCCCCTTGATGTTCAGAACCTTAGCCCAGAGAATCCAGCCTCTGGAAGCCCTTAGGGTACCAGAATATAAGTTCAATAAATATTTGCTGAGTATCTGGGCTACAGCTATACCAGGCACTGTGCAGGGTCTTAGGTCTACTGTGGCAAACAAGGGAGCTCTCTGTCCTCACTGGAGTTCCATTTAGCATGAAAGACAGAGAGTGAGTGAGCAATTTCAATACAGTGTGAGAAAATGCCTTGAAGTTCAAGAATTGCAGGAGCACCTGGTAAGACTAAACACTTGGATTGTGGCGGTCACGGAAGGATGTATAAAAGTTAGAGTGGATGAGTGTTGAGAATTGTGTGTGCTGCGTACAAGCGTGCGTGAATGTCTGTGCATGTGTGTGGGAGTATGAAGCTGGAAGTGACGTGGCAGGGAGGGTGCACAGAGGTGGGTTAGTGTGCAAGGGAATAGCATTTGTTAGGAGACAGTATGTGTGCAGTAAGCATTTATGGGTTGGGAATTTAAGAATGAACGAATAAAGCCAAGGCGTCAATTGAGAAAATGAATTCCTGATGTGTGGACAGAGAGAAGAACGCTCGTGATTTCTGAGGAGGAGCATGCATACTGATGAAATAAGTCCCAGAAGTTGGAACTTCTCCTCAACTCTCCTTCCATTGGAACATGCCCCACGGAAGCCAGATACCTGCTTCTCTGCCCACATCACCAGGAGTTGCTTACAAATCAGCCCCTCCAAACATCCAAGCCTTGGGCAAGAACCAAACTCTTTTTTTTTTTGAGACTTGTATCATCTTTGCCTCTTTGGATCCAGTAAACAGACACCTCTTTATGTATTTTAGGCAGAAAACAATTTAATTTAGATATTACCTCCTTTCAATGTTGTTGGAAGGGCAGCAAGCCTGGGGGAGGGCTGCAGAAATGCCTCCCAGAGCAGCATGGTAGAGCTGCCCACACCAGGAGCTACTGCCTCTGCCATAATCAGGGAAATCCAGTGGCTTCCTCTGCTGCTGCCTCTCAAAACCCTCAAAGTTAGAGACTGGCTATTGAAAAGTTGCTACAGGAAAGTTAAATATCCCTACAATCGTGCCTAGCAGCAGAAAGCTACTAAGCAGGACAAAGAACCCTTCCTCCTTGCAAATATTCTCTGAACACATCTTGTTAATTAATGTGTATTCGTTACCCTAGCTGCAAGGGAGGCCAGGAAATGACATGTTTAGATTTCTATTTTCAGGAACACGTGAAGACAAACCAGAAATGGATAGAGAGAAAGCTAAGTGTGAACCCTCCCTTTCCTCCACACTTCTCCAGCGGTCCGAGGAGCACAAAGGCCTAGCAAAGGAGAGCTCATGTCCCACCAGACATTTAAGTTTCAATTATGAAAGGGTATAATGAGGTTCTCTTTGAATGGATTGCTTCATTATGGTGTTCAAGACCACTGTTGTCATTGTCTTTATGTAATATGTATTAACACCCACCTCCCCTCTTTTGAACTGTTCTCCCAGGGCACAGAGAACATATATTAACTTCACTTGCTCAGAAGTGAAATCTTTTTCTAAGAGCACCCCAATTTTCCTTTGGAAATCTCCATTACCCCACTTTTATGTTGGTCAGGTCGTGGTAGGGCGAGCCTAATCCCTAATTCCAGAGGTAGGGGCCAGTTTGCTACAGGAATTGATTCATAATTGAGCCAGTGAAATCCCTCCCTGAAAGTTTTATGGTAGAAAGGGGGCCTGAAGCTCCATGTTCCATCTTGGCCACCTCGAGGCAGACTCTGCCTGAGAATGAGGCCAACACAGAAGAAAGCAATACTGTGAACCAAAGAGCGCCAGGACCCTGATAGTATCTTTTCTTGCCCTACACATAACCCAGGTG